AGGTTTTAATCAATACCAAAGTACTACCAGTCCTACGAGCACCCACTCATGGGAGCTGTGCTTCAATAGGACTGTAACTGCTGTGTGGAGAAACAGGGTTTGCACTAAGTTCTAAAACCTTCCTCCAAGACCCTATTATGCACTTACTTGTTGACCACAGATATGTTAAAAATATTTTTTAGATTTTATATGTACATGGATGGGTACATGTGGTCTTTTTTGTGCCAAGCCCTGAAACCCAGAAGACATTTCTCCAGCTGCAGACACTGATCTGCCTCAGGTGTGTTGTGGCCACAGCTGTGTGTGTGCCAAGTGGGCTCTGAGCGCTTGGGGCTGGGGCATCCCTGCAGCTCTGAGAAACCCCCTGGAAGAGGAGGCTGTGATGGCCTCCAAGAGCTCTGAGAGTTTGGCCCTTGGCTTTGGAGTGCCACACAAAGCTGGCGGCTGCTCTAGGACATGCAGTAATAGAACATCTTCAGTTCCAGGTTGGCAGAGACATGAATACCTTCGGACTTTATGCATCTAAATGGTTTTGAGAATGATTCACATCATTAAACTGCCCCTCAATCCCACTTGTAGGTGCTTTTTTTGATTTGCATCTGCACTCTCAGCATCAACTGCTGTGACATCGATTGAACTGATGTGATTTACACCAGCAGATTATCTCAAAGTTCATTGGCCAACTGCCTAAACACCTATGCAGTCATACAGAAACATATTTAAAGGAGTGACAGAGGAGGAAGAGCTCTTTTGTGCAAGGCACCAATGCCGTATGTGCAGTCCAAATGCACACATTCAACACCACCCTCTCAATAAAAGTGTTCTCCACTCCACAGCAAAAAATGCCTGTGATGTGCATGCATCCCCTTGAACTGCACTCCCACAATACGTGTAAAGACATAATGCCCAAGTCCTGTTTTGCTCACTTGCTTTTTACTTGCTAGAACAAATTCAGACTGGGAAAACAGGTGCTCTGTTGGGAGCAGACTGAGTTTGCATTACTTGCTTCTCAGCTTAGGACTTGTTGGAACCCCTCTGATTTTTTGTTCAATAAAGAGTACTGCCTCCAGACCACACTGCATCCCTGTATTGATGTGTATGGTGCTACTGTCTCTCTTTCAGCTACTTATTGGCAAGATCACCCAGTGAGACCTCCTCACTCAGGTGATATGTAGGAAAATATGGAGGGAAGTTGTCCCTATTTAGTCTCTGATCCTAAATGGTGCAAAAGGAGATGATCACGGCAGAGAAACAGATCTTTGGTAATGGGTGCCATCTGACACCTGACTCTGAATTTTGTTTGTCAGGTCCGTGAGGAAAGCAGAAGGGCTCTGAGCACCCATTCTGTTTCAGAAAGGCTAGAGCTGCCCTACAGTTGTTAACCAAGAGAACTCTCTTGCACATGCTTCATCCAACCCCAAAAGTCCCGCATTTACAGCCATTTTGGAAAATAAGTCTGATACTCCAGGAGTCTGGCTTTCCTGGTTCCTGCAACTCAACATCTACCACACAACAGTGATGAGTGAAGGAGGTGACATCTCTTTATAAGAAAGGACCACTATTTTTTGCCCCTCAAGTGGTTTGAACAGAGCATCTGGCAAATTAGATGTTCTGCAACTATTTCAGTTAACTCTGTGTCATTTAGTAAGTGGTCATGCATGGTCGTGGCCCTGACTAGAATTTCTCTGTGTGTCCTTTGTGTTAAATTAATTTTCAGGGTCACACTGAGCTTTTAGCTTGGATGACGAATTGGTCATCTACCCCCACACTGCACATATCTCATTAGCCTGCACGCACTGCTCCTTGTGCAAGGCATAGCAGCATTTCTGCAAGGCTCAGATTTCTCCTGTCCCCCCCTCCACATACAGCAGGTTTGAATGCCTCTCTTTGCAAACATGCACTGAAAACAATGAAGACCCCCTCTCGTACTCCTCACCCTTCATGCAGCAGCCAGAGAAAGGTTTCTCTTAGGCTCTGCAGGCATCTTTCCCGGGTGAGAATGGTTGATCCTCATTTGACCTTTCTGATATATAGACAAACGTAACTCAAGACAAAGATGGGTGTCAGGTAAGTGCCCTTAGCTAATAACTGCCTTGAAATGCCTCTGCAAACACCCCTGGAGAGACAGCATGTGTTGTTCTGCGATGTGATACAACACTGATTTGTTGCATCTACAAAACGTCCTCATAATTGTGTGAAATTGAGTGTGAACAAGCAGTTGAATCGCAGTTCATCAAACATAATTAATCTGAAACAGAGCAGCAGAAATACTCCTTTTATCTTGCCTAAGGGTTGATGATATAAATACAGAGCACCCCAGAATCAAAAAAGTGACTAAGCAGATGCTTGCTAGTCTGGAATTCTTTTATAATGCAAAAATGGCTTTTATTTCTCACTGTCTATTTTTGAGTGCTCATCACTGTGCTGCCTGGGTGCTTTGATAAATGGCAATAAATATATTTAGCATATGTTTAGTTCATTAAAAAAGCCATCTACTTCATGTAATTTGGAGACAAAAGAGAAATCATGGAAAAATACAACATTTATAAATGTCTGCTATTCAAATCTGGACTGTAACTAGCTCTTTGACCAGAGTCCCAAAAAAGGAAGGGGGAAAAAAAAGACAAAGTAAGTAAAAAAAAAGATGATAGAGCTCAGGTTGTGTGATCTGCCCTATGAAGAGTGTGCCATTTTCCTAATGGTGCTACATAGACTCTCCTTTATCCCCACAGAACATAATGCAGTATAGACTCAAAATGAAGTGGGTCTTTTGTTCCAGAAATGGCCTTGTGAAGTGGAGGGAAAAGAACAAGATCCTCTCTGCCTGCTCTTTGTCCAAAAGAGGCTGATTTGATCTGTAGGTTACAGACACATCTCCAGCACTGCCTTCACCTTAGCCAGCAGGACAGGCAGACGCTGCACAGAGTATGAGATTTTTATGTGGAACATATAGCGGTGTGGGGGTTACAGTGCTTCTGTCCCCAGGTGCCCGGGCATCCCCTGGCCACAGCAGCCAGTGAGTGCAGCCTTGATGCCTCCCTTCCGTTGCAGAGCAGACAGTGGCTAATGGCCTGGTGCAGACCACAGACCAGATTTAGAGATGAATAACATAAACATGTTACAACTGTTTACCTTATATAAGCAGAGGGGCTCTTTTTTTCTTTGCACTAAGAAAGGCATAAGAAATATGAGGATAAGAAAGCTAGGCTTTTAAAATACATTCAAGGATTTGGACTCCAAGCAGTAGATGTCGAAGGCTGCTATAAGACACATTATAACCTTGCATCCCAAGCCAGACTATTTAATCACAATAGATCCTTTGCAGATTCCAACAATCTCTTGATTCTCTGACCCTTGCATTTTCTATACATTGTCAATTTTAACTGAAGAGTGCACATTTAAAGGCACGGAAGTGTCTTGAAAGTACTTATCTGCAATTTGAAATACCTGTATCTCTCCTAGACCTGGCCTTCATTTGCTGCGCAAACGCATCTGTCAGTTTAAATTTCCTCACCGTGTATCATACGTGATTTCAACATGCTGGAGCTGATACGGTGCCTGTTCTTTCCCATTTGCTGTTTGAGAACGCTTGTGCTTTTAGTCAAGAAAGAGGTCAGCAAACAAGCATGGGCCTCAAAGACATCTCAGATTAGCCTGGCAAACACACCCCAGTTTCTGTAGCCCTCAAGGAAGTAGATGTTGTTATCATTAACTTCACATTAGGCCAACTCAAATGACTAGGAACCCATTTACAGCCAGGTCAGCAGTAAAGCAGCTTTCAACAGGAGGCCAAGCCTGAACGTGTGCCCCTGCCTTGAGGGTCATTAAATGTGTGTTTGAAACACCCAAGTAAAAGCTCAAGTAACATTTTCTTTTCAGGGCTGCACCCCTGGTTTTGAACCTATGTCACTGAAAGCAGAATCCAGCCCCAAGATGGCCTGCAAGGGAGGGAATAATGCTACAATAACACAGTCAAGCTCACTGCCCTGGCAATGAATGCTTATCTCACGCTGCTCTCTCAGTGAGTAATGTTTAAAATAAATAAATACTGCAGGGGAGTTGCTGTTAGTGCAATTGTTGGGTTGTATTCTTGTGGCAAGCTTTTTATCATAATAGTGCAGCGGGAGTACAGTGTGTTTGCAAGGCAAGTTTGAGCCAGGGCACAAAAGCACATAAAGTCTGTTAATAAATAATGGACTCTGTGCATGTGGGTTTTGCAGTGTGGCTTAAAAAATCAGCCCTTTCAAAGTACAATAATATGCAAGCGTTGTTGAAACAAAACAAAACAAAATAAAATGGAGAAATTTAATTGCTAGTCCCTGGGAATGGCAGACATGTTCTCCTCTGGAGAAAGTGGGAACCATGCAAGTGTGATGGCAGCTGCAGCAGTACCTCGGTTGTACAGTGACACGCCTTTGCATTCTTCCACTTGTGCTGTAAAGCACAGGTGGGGGCAATGATACTACAGTTTGCTCATGAACTATGATACCTTGAATGTCTTTCCTATATCTGAAGACTATTATACAATCAGGGGTCCAGATCCTCAGCGGGACTCAGGCATGCTGGCATTTCATGGATTTGATGGCATCATACCATACGGAGGTCTAGGGCTTATCATTATTTTGGGTTTATGAGTTAGCAGCAGGAAATGCCTACATTTTAGCCTTCCCGATGTAAGGACGCAATAGACTAGGAAGAAGATAGATAGCCAGGGGCCCCATAATTTCGCTGTACCAAGCTCACAGCAGTTCTTCACTGAAGAGAAGCAGTTAATTTCACTGAATTGAAGGGAGATTAGGCCATTGACTTTAATGGGCAGGAGCTCTTCCTAAAAAGCACATTCCAGGCCCACCAGGACAGTCTGTGACAATACCAGCTCATATTAGCAGAAAACACTGCTTTGCCCAACTTGGGAACTGCCTGATCACAAGCTGGACAGGTCATCCCAGCACTTAATCCATTTGTAAGTAAATCATTACAAAGAGTTAGAAAAATGGAACACTTACTTGGTCCAAGACCTATGGAAAATGCAGCAACATAAACAAGCAGACTGGCCAGTGAGAGCCATTTCAGGAAAACGGGAACCTCCCCACTTTCCATGTGGGACCCTGTTGTGCTTTTGCCTCCTGCCAGGGCAGTCCTGTTCAGTTCTCCTGTCCTGGCAACATCTGGGCTTCTCTGCATATCAAATGACAATATTTCTGGTGAAGCCATGCTAGCAAAGAGGTCCTTGAGACTCCCATTGGTGGCACCAGTGAGGTTTCCTGGTCTCTGGAGAAAGAAATCCTCTGGAGATTGGCTTCTACAGACAGTGGTGAAATTCACATGTATGTTACGGTTCACTAAGCCCATAGTGACCAAAGATACTGCCATAACAGAAGAGCCAATACACAGAAAAGTTTTACTTCCAACTTGATCCACAAAAACCGTGGCTGGGACTGTGCTGACCACTTTAACAACTCCAACTCCAGTAGAAGCCAAACTGGCAGCTTCGTTGCTCTGGAACCCAACTGACTTCAACACAGTTGATGCATAAAACAAAATGTTGGGTTGCCCAGTTGTTTGCACAAAAAAGACTAGAGTGAGTCCTACCAACATTCGCGCCCTCATGTTGTTTTTTGAACGAAACAGGTCCAAGAAACTATACTGATGTTCATCTTTCAGGGAAGACTTGATCGCAGTAAGTTCTTTAGTAGCATCTGATGTTTCCCGTAGCCTCTCCAGTACTTTTTTTGCAGCTTCATCGTTATTCTTCATGACAAGAAACCGAGGACTTGGAGGAAGGAAATACATGGCAATAGCCTGCAAAGCACCTAATGGAATCACAAGGCCAAACATGTACTTCCAGCCATGAGATATGCTGGCAAATGCATAATTTGAAATATAGGCAAACAGAATGCCTGTCACAATCATGAGTTCATTTAATGATATGAGGAGGCCTCTTCTGTGCTGTGGGGCGATCTCAGCAATATACACACATGTTGCAATTGATGATAATGATATGGAAATACCTATGGCAATCCGTCCCACAATAAGTATCCCATATGATTCATAGGGCAATAAAATCAGACTCCCCAGCACAAGTAAAGAAGATGCAATAATAATAGCAAGTCTCCTTCCAAATTGGTCTATCAGGAATCCACCAGTAAAGGATGCAAATAAGGCCCCAAAAAGCAGGGAACTTACAACGATTTCCTGCTCTTTGCAAGAGAGTGCTAATATGCTGCTCATCTGAAGAAGAGCTCCAGAGATAAGGCCCAACTCGTAACCCATCAGAAGTCCACTTATGGCAGCAACAGCAGAAGATAGAAAAGTAAATGTTCCACAGCCTGAAATAAGAGAAAAAACACAAAAACTTGAAAGTGTGACTTCTGCAACATTCTGACAACTAATAATAACTTTATTTGATATACCAGTCCAAAAAATCTTTTTGTAACTTTTCGGCAAAGCACTTAGGTGCATACAAACCCAGCAGCAATGGTGACATAAAAGGCTATTTTTGAAAAGAAAAGAAAAAAAAATCATATAAACCCCCTTTAATGCTTTTGGGTACCTTATCTTCCTGATCATAAGTCAATAAGGTTTTGTTCAGGCCCTAAATAATTAAACCTTCTGCCTCAGAATATCATTGCAAAAGGCAACACTTACAATATAACCTTTTGGTGAGAAACAAATTTTTGCCTCAAGATGTTCTCAGTATTTTTCCTGTACTGAATTGAGGAAGTCTTGTCCACCCAACTAGTGTGCCATGGGCAAGGAAAGCAATAATAAACATAAACCAAATGGAGATTATATGTCCACTTTAAAACAAACTCATTTTATACAACTGCGATTCATTGTTTATTGTTACAAGATAGATTTGACTGATCAAATTCTACTAACTGTGAAGCCTTTTGCACCCTAAACTTTGAGGAATATATCAGTTTGTTATTGTTGGTCTTGTTCTTTCTCCCAGCACGATTTTCCTCTCATCATGATGTTGGCTGCCACACAACTAGGAAAAGAATAAATTGACTTCTGATTTTCTGGTTAGTTGGAGAGATAGGACATGTCTGAGGAGAGGTAGCTTTTGCAGCATGACAGAGTCCGTATTTCAGTTAAGTCTCCTGGAACAAGTACTTTCCAGCTTGGCTGGAAAGTGGTGTATGGTCTAATTGAAAATGATACATAGACTTTGTTTATTTTTAGCTTATTTTTCTAAGGCATTAAGGCTCTTTGATCACGCTGACTGCCTGGAGTTCCTTGCCAATAACTTTTGAGCGCATTGGTGAGGATCAGTCCCATTTGACAGAGGATACTACTTTTCTAAAGCAAATGGTGGAAAGAGAGAAGGAGAGCAACCCTAGCAGTATGTCTGCACTACTAAAATAAACAGTGCCAGAGCCCAGGCCCGGACCCTGGCATGTGGCCATGTATCTTACTAAATTGCTGGCATGGTCCCTGGCGTGGTTCTGCCCCAAGCCACCTCGTGCTCTCCTAACAATTCCCAGAGGCAGGAGGCAGTCTGGCTGCCGGCGAGCCCACCATCACACCCTGCAGCCACTCCACAGGAGTCTGGGTTATTTTGGAGGGTAGCAGAGTGTAATTGTGTGAATATAAGCTGTGCCTCTGGGGTCAGGGGAGATGTGTAAGCCCATTAAGTCTATTAAGATAAGTATCGCCTGCTAGCTCTCTTACCTGGCTCTCCATTTGCTCCCTTTGAGCCAAGCAGAAGCCAAGCGGCAGCAGCCCCGAGCTGCTGAGTGCACCCAGCGCACCTCAGCCCACTCTGCCTCTGGGCTCCGGTGGCTGGCAAACCAGAGAAAGACAAGAGATGGGCAAAACCCACACGGTTTTGTTATGATGGGATGTGAGGGCACTGGGGAAATGGGAGTATTGTGAGAAGTCTTTCAGAAGGTGGGGGTGGATGGTTGATTTATTGTGATGGAGGTGGGACAGCTTGAAGAAAATGTCAGAAACAAATTTGCAAAATGCTCTGGTGATGAAACAATCTTTTTTTGTATTGTTGTTATCCATGTCTGTATCATGTCTAAAGCTTTTTCTTCCTTTATGTCAGCAGTATCCGAGAACATTGCACTTATTTTAAACTGAGGTTAGTGCATGGGTTAGGGCAAGGTCCTGCTGTACTTCCTTCACACGCTGAACAGCGCTTCAGTGGAAGTACTACTGACTCCAATTAAGCTGCTTTGTGCTATATGTGCTCCATCCTCCAATGCACTCATGCAATATACGTTTTATCATAGCAAAACCTAATTTTTCCCTCTCCTTTATACTTTTGACTTGCCTGCTTGCTGTATATTACTAGATCTGGAAAATATACAATTTTAATGAATCCTGGCTGGAAATCAGGGCTGGTAACAGCACAGCATTGTGCTGAATGAATGAGCTTGGGTATCAGAAGCTACACTGCTAATTTGATCATGGTGCTCTGCCCAAACTACTGCTCAGTGCTGGTATTTGTACTTTCTTGGATATCTCTGTATGTTATGTCATTGAGCCATATAGATTTAACCTAAGATTTTGCTTTAATGTATATATTATGAAGCCAAGACACCATTATGGTCATCCAGTCTGACACTCATGAACAGCTCATGTTTAACTCATGTTTAATTAAACTCATGTTTAAATGGCATTTGATTTGAACTAGGCCGTTTAAAATATTCAGCTTTGATTTTAAAATTGCTAGTGGTTGAAAGCCAATTACTTTAAGTCATAAGTTGTCCCAATGGTTAATTACTTTCACTGTAAATTATCTGTAAATTATTTCTAGGCTTAATTTCTGCAGCTTCAGTTTCCAGCCATCAGATCCCATTCTCTATTTGCCTGCACTTAGCTGTGTTCACTAAGTACAAAATGATAGCCTGTCATTGAGTCATCCCACAGACCTCTCCTTGATAAGCTACTTAGCCTGTGAGGCTTTACAAGTTTGCCAGTCCCATAAGTAATCAAAGCCCTGTTCTCTGAACTCTATCCAGATTATCAACTTCTTCAATAAATTGCGAGCTGGGCCCAGTGCTCCTGCAGTGGATGCACAGTGCCAGATAGGAACTTGACATAATTGTCCCACTCTGGTGGACATTTCCCCCTCTACTACTCTAAGGATTGTCACAGCCATGTACAGGAGCTCATCTTCTGCTGGTTATTCTCCAGGACAACCAACTTCTTTTCTGACTGGGTTCTTTCCAAGGCATTGCCTTTCCTTTAAATATGGCCTGCCTTCTCACATCCTAGCTAGGAATGCAAATCACTTTACATTTGTCTGTATTAAAACACATAGGATGGATTCGACTTACCTAACTGTGAGAGATCTACAGCATCTCTAGATTTCTTCTGTAACCACTTGTGAAAAATAGGCACTTCTAGATGTCTGAAGTAGGTCAGATGCCTATTTCTCTCCATTGCCTATAAAAGGAATCTGTGTGGCTTGCTCAGATACAGATGTCTAAAGTTAGCAGAGAGGAACCCCAGACAGCACATTCCTTCAGTCAGTAGGCCAAGCCAGCAACATATCCCATTTATTAATCACCCGTCACCTTTATCACCCGCAAATAATCCATTACTATCTTCTTCCAGGCAACTGAGAAAAAACGGTAAGTAACAGAGGGACAAAAACTGAGTTTAAGGCTCTCCAGCAGAAACACAGCAGCGTGGGCAGCATCTCCTACTGATACTTTGAGGTCTGTGTCCTGCACAGCTTTTAATTCTTTAAATGTGCAACTGTCAGTTTTGTATGGTTCCAGTTTCTGATTCAAAATGAGAGTGCCAAGTCAAATATCTTGATGGAGTCCACCATCAGCACTGTTCTTTACAATCCAGCCTGTGCTCTCCTCAGCCTGTGGTCCTCAGATCAGAGCAACCGAGGTGATTATTTATTTTTAATCCAAGAGGCTGTACAAGCTGGGTGTGGAGCTTGGACACCTGGGAAGTTGCTAGGGAAGCACTCAAGCCCATATATTTCTTGCTTCTCCAAGCACAGCAGCTTGACCAATGTCTTAATGTTTCTTTGGTTTGTTTTTACTGGGTCAACTGGTATCCTTGTTCATATGTCCAGTGACATATGCCCACAGTCGGATAGAAATAGTGGAGGGCTGTAACTAAAGCAGACCCCTGAATGAAAAGCAGATTCTGATGCAATGCAGAGGGAGACACATTGTCTTTTTGCATTAGCAGCAGCAAACTCAGTAGTTAACTCAGTGTCTCTTGTCCCTCACATGCACTATTCTGCTGAGAAATATCTTCATATCACTATGAGGTTTTGTTATAGCTGCTGTACCTAAGACTTGCCTGCTCAGAACTGCCTGCTGAGTTGAACCCTGAAACCTCTGCTCAGTTTTCCTTCATGGTGTTCCTCCAGACAAAATTCCCTCTGACTTCAGCATATGTTTTGCTTTAACATTTCTAGATAAAGCATGTTGCAGTAGTTGTACTCACAATCCTTTTAAGTGCCACTTTTAATGAAGTTGCTGGCAGTTCTTAGGCATTCCTTTTTTTAAAAAAAGCCTCTTAAAATGTATATTCCTCTTATTTTTATGAGATGCCTGCGAAATACATGGCAGTGTGCCATCCAGGGGAATAAAATATTTTAATGATAGCTTCCAGAGAAATTTCTCCTTCTGCCTGCAGCAAACACGATGGCTAACGAGTGTGTGGCTGGTATGTGACAAGTGATTGGAAAGTCTATTCTCTAGTTTCCCCATGTAAACAAAATGGTTTCTCACAACTGTTACTCAGGTCAAAAGCAGCACTACTTGGCAAACAAACTTGTCTTTAAGAACGTTTGCTGGAAATGTTTATGCTTGGTTCTTGAAAAGGAGACCAAGTGCAGTTGTAGTATAGCACAGTGGACTGCTGATGAGACTGGATGCGGCCAAGTAGTGAGGGTGTGCCCCTTTACTTATTTTCAAGCACATACTTGCGAAAATACAGTCCTTCCAAAGGCAAAATATTTGGTCTGTGCATGTATTTTATCGGCATTACGGATAAATGATCTGTGCCAGGGAAGATCTGCAAGCAGGCTGAGCTGGGAAACACCACTCTTCCCCCACTTCATGTGCAGGAGAGCTATGGGAAAGGTGCCTGGGAGCCCTTTCCACCTCACCTTGGCAGTGAGACACTCCACGTTAGTCCACATACTGAGATTTTTGTGATGTAGTTTTTCTTCCCTTTCTCGCAAGAGAACATGCAGTGTGCGTACAGAAAACTAGTGGAATGGAGTGGGATGGGAGGGAGAGTTTACTTGTTTATGAGACCTGTGCAAATCGATCTATTTTGGTAGGAGGGGACTCAACAGTCTCTTCCAACATGGTGCTTTCTTCTATTGACTTTGATATAATCTGAGGTGAGAAATGTCTCGATCTGGGAGGGCAGGGAAGTATTTTACTGGAAGGTCAAATACATGTTCTTTAAATCCTTGGGGATTCTTTGATCTATTTAGACATTTGGAAGGTGAAATCAAGTTCTGTCAACCCTTGGTTAGTAAGCACAGGTTAGAAAATCATGATGAGTTGAGTGCATTGCATAGATATGAATCTACAGCATGGAATCTCCCTTTTTCAATAGAAAAAGGCATCTACTTTTATCCATGATAAATCTTAAAACTACAGCATAGGTATCTGAAAATTTTAAGCTGTCTTTAACAACATATTTTTTCTCCATCTGTGTGCTGTCTGATATAGAAAAAGTTTGCCTTTACAGGGAAATAGTGTTTAAAATTCCCCAAATTGTCTTTAGAGGAGCATTTTGCTAAAGAGTATAGCTTGCAGATCACATGGTTTTATAGGATAAATATTTAATGGCATGTGTTGGGAATTGTTTCATAATTGAATCATGGTTTTGTTTCTTGTAAAAGGTGATTATCCCGTTTTTATGCCATCATGATCTTTGCTGCACTGCCACAGTCATCTTCTCTGTCTCATCCAGTTGTCTGGTGTAAAGAGATACACATATATTATGCAGTTGATCTGTTCTAATGCCTGAGGTTTCTTTAGATCCAGTAGCTGGTCAGTATATGCATTTCTCCTATTAGCTAGGATACATCTGATCTAACCGTCCATCTAGAAGTCTGGCATGGGATCTAAAACAGTTACCCAATAAGACCCTATGGGATGACACAAATGGTGGTTTTGGGACAAAGTTATGGTGCAAGCAGAGCTGAAGAATCTCAGAAAATATTAAATTTACCCAAAAATAGTGTCAGGGCCATGTGGGATCATGACCATTTGACAAATGTGACTCCTCCTTCCCAAGTGTGAAAGGCAAAACAAAACCAACTATTTTGTAAATGGAACTAAAAAAGAAGCAGAAGGAAGCTAATGTATCACACATTTTCACACATCTAAGTTCCTGTGATGTTGGGAAGCATTGTATACTTTGTACAGCATAAGCCCCATGAATGTATTGTGTGAGTAACATTTGAATTTCATGAACAAAAGCCCCCTGGCACTGATGGAAAGACAGGGAATGCAGATCCTGGACAGACCCACCCTTGCCATCGCTCCATCTCTCAGTGCTCGGCCATCTATTTTCATTATGTCAACAGGCAGCCTGGCCCTTCATTACATTAAATGGGATTTGGGTTTTGTTTTGTTATTTTCCAGTAAGAAACAACATGTTCTTTTAATTCCTAGCTAGGTATATATAAATTCCTCAGGTTACTGCTTTAATTTCTGAGGGTAAGGCCAAGTGTATAATTTCCGCATACTCTTCTAGCCATAGTCCTTGTGCTGCAGTAACTTTGCTGTCTGTTTATTGTAACTGCTGTGCTTCCCTTTGATAAGGTTATCCTATAGCCATCTGCATTGCTCCCCCCATACCCTAAGGTAATGTTAAATAGGTCTGCACACTGACTGGCTTTCTGTTCTTGATTAACTGCTGCTTCCTCTGCTTCCAGGTATCAGTAGATGTTGCTGGACTGATCGCTATTACACTCCAGCAAAGCATTTGTGCCCGTGGTGTCTGAACATACATGGGTTAGTCAGTTCATTCATTTTTAATTGAACAAAACCTGCTCAGGACATAGTCATTTCTGGCTTACAGTCGTGATTTCCTCTTTGAGCAAAGCTGTCTTGTGGGTGAGAAATGTCACAATTGTGGGTTATTTCCCCCTTGATCTTATACTCAGTGAAAGAGACTCAAGATGCAAAACCATGCTGTAACTTAGAAAAACTGGCTGGGTAAGACAGCAAAGGCGAGGAGCTATGAAATTCAGCTTCAGCACTCAAATGTCTTTGCATGAGAAATTATACAGTTGATTTTTCAGGGTTGAAACAGGGTCAGCACAGAAACCCTGTTTCTTCATGAAATGCCAGGGAGAAAAGACAGGTCCCCCTACCCTGTAGTTTCCTTCTGCATGAGCAGGTGCAATGCTTGCCTGGCTTCCCTCCACTTCACTGAAAAAGGCTGAATTGCTCCCAAGCATGCAAGGACCGCAACACCGTTGTTATCTTAGATGGCAGTGAGTTCTCCTATTTTTCAGGTGACTGATCTCCATAAAGGAAAGGGATTTATACAACAGACAGCACATGCACGAACAGTAGGACCGAGGCCTTTTGGGAAAAGTATCACATAAACCTTCATTCAAAATTCAAGCTGGCATTTCCCTTCCTTACTCACATTTTCCCCTCTCGCACTTTTAGAAATCGAGACGGCGTGCCCCGAGAGTCCCTTGGCTTTGCGGGGCTGTTTTGCCCCAGCCCCGAGCATTAGCTACGTGGGCACGCTGCTGCTGGCTAACAGCTGGCATTCAGCTCCTGCCGCTGATTACCTGCTGCAGCCGGGAGCTCGCGGAGGTGGCGGCGGCCGCTGCGGTGGCTGCCCCGGCTGCTCTCCTCATCTTCCCCTGCTCTCATCGTCTGGCTCTGCTGGTCGAGGTCCTCCGTGCTCTGCCCAGGTACCATTGCCACCCTCCTTGCACCTTGGGTCAGGAGCACTTCACAGGGCAGCGAGTCTTCCCCGGCCGCTGAGGAAAGCGCAGGTTATTTTCCTCATGGCAACAAGTTGCTGAAGCTGGCTGAAACCAAATGCAAACCACAAAGTGGTTTGTGAACAACTTTGTTGCTATTTCAGAAGGCTTTGCCCTTTGCAGTGACACAGGCTGTTGCTATTCTTGGGAGCCTATTGCAGGCGAGGGGAGGGCCGTCTGTCGGAAGTATTGCTTTTGCCTTTTAACAAATAGTTGGAGACATCAGACGTCCACACGCAGCTCAATGCACATTCCTTACCCATTAGCTTAAAGGGTCTCTCTCTCTCTCTTTTCCCCTCCTCTCTCTTGTGTTCATATGCACAGGTTTTTAACAGAGAAGGCGCACGGAAGGGGAGGATTTGAAGTGTTTGCTGTGTCAGCTAAAGTTAGGGCACCGAGCACACACACGCGGCATCGCTTCGTTCTGTGAATTGCAAGCGAGTTGTGGCGAGAAATAGCAGAGAGGGAAAAAAACCCATGGCAGCCCTTTGCAGTCTGCAACAGTACGAGTCAGGATTTTTCACGGCATAGATGCACATGCTATTTTACCAGCAAATGAAAGGGAAGTCACCCTTTCTCCCATGACAATTATTTGTGGGAAAACTGAGACTGTCTTGGTTATATTGAGTCAAAGGCTTGATTTTGAGAGCTGCTAGGAGTCAATCCATCCCTCCTAGCTTCGGTGGAAGCAGTGGTCAGAGGCTGGACCGCAGTGGCAGGGAAGGCTACAGCGGGTGCAAGCGAGCTGCCTACAGGCCTGTGCCTGCACGGTGTCTGGTCCTGGTCCTGGTCCTGGTCCTGGTCCTGGTCCTGGTGAGGGAGCCTCCGAGTGCTCTCAGCAGACCCGCTGGCCTGAGTGAGGCAAGTTGTCCAAGCTATTCCCAGTGGGAATTGCTGTTGTATAATTTGGCAGAGCTGCAGGCTTCTTGTTTGTGCTCTTTTTCTCTTTCATTTCTTGCTGTTTTGTCTTGGTTGTTTTGGTTTTAATACACTAATGCCTGCAGACAGAGTGGGAGGGAAGGCAGAGGTGGAAAGTTGGTAGCTTTTGCAGTATTTCCAAGACAGAGGATTCCTAAAAATCTTTTCCTTAAGTAGAGTAGGCATGATAGACCCTTTATCAGGTGTTTGCTTAACAAGAAAATTTGACAAAAGACACTGTAACTGCCTGTCTGACAGCTGCATCACTGTCAGCTTCAGAAGCTGGAGTGTCAGGGGTGCCACGGGGCCACCATTTCCAGTAGGGAGCTTGGTTTTGGCAGTGCCTTTGGCGTGGAGTTAAATGAGTCAAGCCTAGCTCTGCTCTCTTGTGTAACATTCTTCATGAAAAATGTCCACCTGTCAGGGCGGTACGGGACGCTATCAGGGCTGTTAACAATTTCTTGCCACATCCAGAGAGGTGATATTTCCTCATGGGGTATGTGAAAAAAGTAATGTCAACTTTTGGGGAAAAATGAGAGGCTGTTTAGGCTGGGGAAGGAGAGGAAATTTTGTCAAAGATTGAACTCAGCTGTGACAAGATTTCTCTGTTATAATGTGGTATGTAACTGACCTCCTTTAACAGCCCCACACCTCGTATAACCCACAGCCCTGCTCAAGCGCCTGCTCTCTGGAAACTCAGCTAACTCCATAGCTACACACTTTTTCCCACCTCCCAGATGCCTTTATATGTAATGATCCTGGAGGAGTCAGAGAACTGCTGAGACACCCACGGCAGCTTGCCAGGGAGCAAAGCCATCCTCCCAGACCTGTGGCCCTTGAGGATGCTCTGGAGTTGACCCCTCCTGCCCAAAGCTGCTGCCTGCGGAGGGCTGGCCCTGAGGCAGTGATCCCCACTGCCTCCTGAGGAGCCGAGAGAAAAAGAGAATTCAGTTCAGCATTCAGTTGAAGGTCAGGTCCAGCTTCACAGAGAATTGATGAGAAGTTCTCTGGGCTCCTGGCAAGGTCTGGAAGAAAGGGGGGATGTTTTTAAGGGGAAATGCCCAGTGGGAAATGAGGCAGAGGTGTGCTGAACAGCCAGAACAGATGATGGGCTTCCCCCATTCCATGCTCTCTTTGCACCAGGGTTATTCAGATAGTCTCAATTTTTAAGTTTGTACATGTGGAGTTACAGAAGGTTTCACATAGAAAATCTGTCCCATCCTTAGGTAATCAGCTATGCAAGAATTGACTACTTAATTTTACTATTAGCTTTTGCCATCCGGCTGACAGGAGGCTGCTTTGCTGACATAGGGACTGCTGTGTGAAGTTATTGAGACAAGTCTGCAGCACAGCCTTGGTGGGACTGGAGTTATCCATCGCTCCTTCTTGCATTTGTGAAGACTTTCTGCAGCCTGTCTTTGTCCCCTCATTCCCCATTCATTCCCCTCATTTCCCCTCATTCATTGGAAGTTCCACCCAAAACTGATTCTGCACATCTCTGTGAAGATGGCCTGGGTAGGCATCACCTATCCCGTCACACCTGTAGAGTGTCCTTCTTCAGCTGCAAGCTGAATCGGCCTCGTCAGCTATAGGGTATTACTAATTTTGACAGAAGTGAGAGGTGTAATGCGATTGCAGCCCTTTCTGTTCAAAACCTTCCCTCTAAATGTAGTCCTTCAACTAAATACACTGATTATGAGTAGCTGCTGGCACCTACATACTTCGGGAGAACTGAAAAGCTTGTCAGGAACTGCACCCTTCCCCTGAACAAGAAGCATACTACCCCCAGGAGTAAGTAATAAAAAGTAAAGGCTGCTTTTCACCAAGTTCCTAAATCTTGCGATTTTAAGAGATGAATGTTAACTGAATACACCAATGAATTCCATTCTTCTTTTTTTTAATAGAAGGAAAAGGATATTTTAGACAAACAGTGGGATTTCTTTTAACTGTGTTTAAACCTGGAGTTCAGTGCTACCTACATTCCCCTCAGAAGCCAGAGCCCAGCCTGATTTTTAAACATTTACGCACTTGTTTACTCAGAAATCCAGCAGACTAATCTTCTCCGGAAAATAAAGGCCAAATAACCCATTTTTCCTTCCTAGTTCTGCCTTTATTTCATGGTATCTATGCCAGCTGCAACACAACAATGGCTTAACTTTGCCCCATGTGGTAACCTCCGGAGGTACCTAGTTTTCATGCATGGTAAAGCAGCCAGTACACAGCATAATGGCCAGACAAAAAATAAAGAAAGACGTTGTTACTCTGGAGACTTGTGTTTGGGCTACCCAGAGGGCAGTGTGCCCTTGCCATGCTGAGCTTCTGGTCTGCAGAGGTACCAGGGAGCTTCCTGGGCTTCGACCTGCTCACTAAGTTAGACCCCACGCCAAGAACACTGTATCAGGGTCATAAATATTTCTTCACATAAGACCTTAGGGAAAAATTTCCCCGTAAGTAAAAATGTGAAATATTTTATCCTGAGATCTGCTGCTTGGCATGGCATTGGTACGAGGGATGTTTTGCGGCATCATCGGTAGCCAGCTCATAGTGAAAAGCCACAGCTCAGCAGGTGAGAGAATCTGTTTTCACAATTGTGGCTGAAAAGCTGAGGCATCGATGCTATTGGCGTTAACTGGCATTAACTGGCATCCCAGAAAAGGAAGGAACTGGAAAAAGGCCGGTTCCAGCCAATGAAAGCAAACAGAGGGAGGGAAAGCAAACAGCCAGTGCTGGTTCTGCAGCCAAGGCAATTGTAAAGGGATCTCATGAAATGCAGCAACTGTGAAACACTTGCTGGTGGCCATGGGGTCCTGGTCCCAGAGCCCTGTATCTGTTTCCCAGCAGAAATAAAGAGGCAAGCAAAAAGCAAAACTCCAGTACAACAGACATAAACAGAATAAGGAGGGGGAAAAGGGAATGTGCTTCGCTACTTTTGAATTCTCTATTGTTTTCCTGTTACTGCCTTGCCTGTGTATGCTGTTAAAACAACCGCTTGGCTCGTGCTGTGTGCCCAAGAGCGAGAGATGTCAGTCAGAGCAGGGGCAGGGGAGCTGCTGGAGGGTTTGCAGGGTGGGAAAGGATTGCACCCTCTCTGCCCCTCTCACTGCCGCCTGGGAAGGGAGTCCTGCTGAAATGGGGGGGTGGGGAGAGATGTTCCAGAAAGCAATAAAATCCCGAACACTGGGATAGGCAAACAACTTAATGACGCTCCAAAGAGTACAAGCCCCAGCTCCATAACTGTGCCATTTGAGGCGGGGCAGAAGGTCACGCGCTTCAGGAGAAAGAAGAGTGGAAAAGATAAAAAAGCCAAAAGCAGAAGATGGTCAGGAGGCAAGCCAAGGGTATGAGTGTAACACGGTCATGAGATTCCCCTGTCGGTTTTGTCCACAAGACAAAATCATCTTTTCTGATATTGGCAAGAAATCATCTTTTCTGATATTTTCTCAACTCCTTGCTTTCAAAACTGACCAAACAGTTTATAATTAGGGGCACGATTAGGCTAAAAAAAGATATTCACAATGAATTGCTGAATGATCTGCCTGGAAAAATCTGTGAGGCTGAGGCGGGCATTTCTTATAAAATCGGTGGTCATGATTTGTATTTTTCTGCATTTCCAGCAATCTAATAACTCAAATTCAGGACTGTGGAGAAACAGGAAAGTTGGTGTTAAGCCAATAGGAATGAATCAAGAGCTGAAGGGCTTTCTGAATCACTTTTCTTTGGCCATTTTTATTAGTGTCGGAGTAAAGAAGGTCATCTTATTTCCCTGTAGATTTTATGACTCTCAGAAAGAAGATAGTGGAACTCTCCCAATCATCTATTCTAAAATATGGAAATAAAGCTTTTCAGCAAAACTTTGGAGATGATTTTCTTGATATATCGCTGAAGTTATGTTGCCTACATCTGTGATCACTGAGCTTTGCTCTCAGAACTAATAGTTTACTGTTTGCAAAAGAGGTTCATAAGATAGCCAGCACAGGACAGTGTGAGGGAGGCTGGAAGGATGAGAGAAAGAAAAATACATGGAAAGAAAAGAAAGAAACAAAGCAAAAACCCCAAGAAAAACATACCATTTATTCCAGGAAAAAAGTACCAATCTAAAAAAGCACAAGTAGCCTTTCCCATTAGTGGTGACGCATTGACAC